CAGATTACTCTCCCGATTCGGTTCATATTGTGGATTGCCACAGACATATTGTGTGTAAGTATGTTTTTAAGTCTTTTTTTTTTTTTTTTTTCTTTTCTAAAATGGGTATATGTCATTGGTTATGTAGACTATAGCTGTGTTCCAATTCAGCGGCTGCAGCCTTCACAGAGCCTATCTAATCTATGTAGCCTTTGTAGGTTGCATCCTTCTAAAAATCCATACACTGAATCTTGGGAGAGGTTGGGCTGTGATGGATCCTTCACAGACCAGGAAAAGGATGTATTTCCAGGCTGCATTTGAAGGAGCCTTTGAAATGGGGTGGCCTTGGCACGCTGCTGTGATGCTGTGAAGGCTTCCATCCCCGAATCTGGACACAGCCATTGCCTTCATGGCCAAAAACTTCAAATCTTGAAAATTTACTAGTCACTTTGGACTTGGTCTTGATGAGTGGCTGCAATGGCTGTTAGATAGCGGATCTGATCTTGCTGCATTCCCAAACAGCTCCGGAATAAACCTGTGGCGAGACCAGCACAAACCATCTGAGATCCTGCTCAACTTGGCCCGCCTGAAAGGTATTTCTCCACCGCTGATAAAGGAAGATGGAAGCAGCCTGTCGTTTAATGAACACGACTACACCCTGTCTGAATTTGGTAAGAGAAATAAGCCGGTTATAAAATGACAAGTGGGGTGGCGGGTATAAAGGTTGAACATTTTGAGGTGAAGTGTTATAAAAATGCCCTTCTATCCTTTCTACTCAATGGCCGTAAATGATAAATATGCTGTTGGAATTATACTTTATGAAACGAAATTCCTCTATCTCTGTTTTTATTATGTTTTAGTTTTATTTAGCTTCTTTAGCAAAACAGTAACAGTGCCTTGCAAACAAACAATTGCAATCAAAAAAAATCTTGGTTGAAGGACCCTTTGAAATGGGACAGCCTTGTTGTGCAGCTGGGAGCCATTCAGTATGCAAATCAGTATTGGGCATGGAAGAGAACCAATGGAATTAACCACCCAAAACTATAATAGGCGCTTTCATAGTGCTTTTTGAACCTTTTTCCAAAACCAGGGACTTTCGTCGTGTTCACACCACAGAAACTTGACCCCACTATAGTTCCTCAGAGTCAGTTCCAGGACACTTTTTTTAGTACCTACTCCAGACTAGGTACTAAAGAAAGTGGCCAAGACCTACCAAAGTTCCAGGTCAAGACTTGTAAGCTGGGACCAAGTTCCAGATTTTTGCTGTGAATGCGCCCAATATGACTCTGTTTTTAGCACAACAGATGAAGGCCTCTGTCTTTGGGGTACGGCCAGATGAGGTCAGCCCATAGGTGCGAACTCTGCTCTTCCTTTAAACACCACTGAGGTGCAGTGTCTCTTTCTCTCTGATTATCAAATGAAATAGAGCACAGCAAAGAGATCCACGAACATCTGGGTGAACCCAAGGAGAGGGTAGCCCTGCACGTGCTCCGGACACAAGGTCTGGTGCCCGAACACGTGGAGACCAGGACCCTGTATAGCACCTTCCAGCCCACACTCTCTCAGGTCAGCATGTGCCCCCCCCACAAACACGTCTCCGTCACCTCCCTGCCCCCCCCAGCTGTTACTGAGCTCTTTTCCCTCCTTCGCTCCATAATTAGGGGAGGGTTCAGATGTGGGTCGACATATTCCCCAAAAGCCTTGGCGTTCCCGGGCCCCCGTTTGACATCTCTCCACGCAAACCGAAAAAGTGAGGAGCCCTTGTGGTGGACTTGGCAACCTTGCAGTTTTGTTGAATAGTGTAAACTTATGTTTTAGGCATCTATTTTATATTCTCATTTTTTTTCTTCAGGTTCTTCCTGCGTGCTATTGTTTGGAACACGACTGATGTCATTTTGGATGACACCAGCATCACGGGCGAGCACATGAGTGACATTTATGTGAAAGGGTAACATGATCTAAAGGCACATCATTCATGGCAACATTAATTACTTGTTGCATAGCAACACTAAGTTCCAATTGTGATGTGGTCTTTTACTTAACAGCTGGATGCCAGGCATGGAGGAGGACAAGCAGAAGACTGATGTCCATTACAGGTCCCTGGATGGAGATGGGAACTTTAACTGGAGATTTGTCTTTGGATTTGAGTACCTTCCTGCCGAACAACTGTGCCTTGTTTCCAAAAAAGTAAATTGGGTTATAATCAATAAAATAATTTTTAAAACTCTAATTTTAAATATATAGTTTGTACATTTATGCTGTTTATATTCTGCTTTTTTAGGAACATTTTTGGAGTCTTGACAAAACCGAGTTCAGGATTCCACCCAAGTTAATTCTTCAGATATGGGACAACGATAAATTCTCATTGGACGACTACTTGGGTGAGACACTTCGTCCTTCCCTACAGCATTGTGTTTTGGTTTTGGCCACTGAGATGAGTTGTTAGCATACTGCCCTGTCTCAGAGACTAAGGCGTGGGATGTAGATGGGACCTGGCTAAAGAGATGCTCCATTGAAACAGGCACCGTTGAGCTGGACTTGCTGCACCTGGTTTCCCCTTCCAAGACGCCGGAAAAGTGCAAGCTGGAGATGATGGAAATGACCTCTCCGAAAGACAACAGGACCAACTCACTTTTCGCTCAGAAATCTGCCCGTGGCTGGTGGCCGTGTGCGATGGAACAGAATGGAAAAAAAATTCTTGGGGTTAGAGAGCAACCCACTTCACTTAATGCAAAGTTGTCGTTCATAAATGTGTTCTTCATAGTTAAATTATTTACAGTCGACCCTTCTTCATTGCGACTTTCCTTATCGTGGTTTGTTGAATGTCTCTTTGGAACCATTTTGTCACAAGGACAGAACATTTTCTTGTGAATTCACCAGCCCTGCGTTACAAACTCTCCTCCGTTTTGTCATGTTCAGGGGAAAGTAGAAATGACTCTGGAAATCGTGAACGAGACTGAGGTGGATGAGAGACCCGCTGGGAAGGGAAGAGATGAACCCAACATGAACCCGAAGCTGGATCCTCCAAAGTAGGTTGATCACCCCCCCCCCCATTTTATTCAGCTGCATTTTGTACAAACTCATGACACATCATCGTTCATTACTTCCCAACAGGCGGCCAGAAACCTCTTTCTTCTGGTTCACAAATCCATGCAAGACCATGAAATTCATTGTGTGGCGCCGATTTAGGTGGATCTTCCTTGGGCTGATCCTCCTCGTGCTCGTGGTCCTCTTCTTTGCAATTTTACTCTACTCCCTCCCGGTGAGACCGGAATTTCTCACTTCCATACAGAACAGGGCTCACAAGCACAGTAACTTTGTTTACTATTTAGAAATCCTACACTGGATTGTTGATCCTTTGAAAAGAATAGTACACTACCAGAAAAATGGGTACAGCCCTGTACAGTTTTGTTCCTCAAAGTACAAGCAACATTAATGAACCCCAAAAGTACAAAAATGTCAATTTCTGTACCTTAAATTACACTAAAAGCTACATTTACCTACAGCTAGGGTACAGTTAGCTGACCCATTAGGGTACAGCTCCAGTGGCAAGTGATTGTATCCTTAGAGGTAAAAACTGGTACTTTTTTTTCTGACAGTGTACACAGTCTATTTCAATGATGCCAATACAGTACATAGACAAATATTCTTTGTTGAATGTCTGAAGAATCCTCATGGTTGCTATATTCAGTCAAAAATATTGTATCCATTATACAGTAGGTTGCATATGTTTAAAAAGCTGTTTGACACTATTATTATCTGTGCCTTTTTCCCCCAGAACTACATCTCAATGAAAATTGTCAAACCATGAATTACCCCGATGAGCCCTGCTGCCCCCATTCCCACGGCACTCCAGATGTCACGCGGCGTGAGGACCTGCATCTTAGCCATGTTGTCGTCTTGGACGGGGCCATTGTTAAAACGCATACAATAATCATTCATTTCTTTCATCCTTTTTTTTTTTTTTTGCAAGGAAATTGAAGAAATATTGCTTTACATAATTGTCATTTTCCAGTTTGTACAATGGACCGTTTTGTCCATTTAGAAGCAACGTTGTGTATTAAGGGTTCAAAGAAAGAACACGGCATCACAGGTTGAATACGTAAATATTTGCACATCACACTAGAATTTACAGTTTCATGGATTTTGGTTGTGGTATCTGTACAGGTTTTTAGACAATATAGTTAGACAATAGAAGTTCTAGATATGGAGAAGGTTAAAAGAGAAACTGATATTTTCACATTTTCCAATAAAGTCTTAAAGTGCCACTTTATCACTGTGTTCATGTAATACATTCTGTGTGCAATAGTTCATAATCTTAAAGCTCAGTAATGGGATAAACACAAAATTTCTTGATGAAAGCAAAGTAATTTGATAATTATATTCTTTCTTGGAACAGAAGTGCTGTTTTGAAACGAGTATTTTCTCACTTTCAATATTTCATAGAACCATTTTGCATTAAATGTGTAAGAACATTGGGTTTTACCCAGATCAGTCAGAATGTGGGCTGCAGAATTGACCAATAGCAACCAAGCCTTTTTCACCTGGTCAAATCAGCTTGTCTTTCAATGGTAGTTATTAATTCTATTGAAGTTCTCATTGTGGCTGACTCCTTTTGTGGCCCTGTTTTAGTACAACCCCTCACTACAAAGTCATCAGATAGTACAAGGAAGAGATTCTTCTGACCTCTGAAGAGTGGGGAGGGAATGTATAAAGTTGAATTCGCCATTAGAATGGTAGGTATGTGATTCTGGAATTCCCGATCTTCTGTTGCTGGAGTATTCTCCCCGCTTGGCGCCATCTGACTCCATGCAGAAGGAAGGCCGACCTTTTTGGGAATATGATTTGCAGGACCACAGTTCTGCTGCTGTCGCCCCATTGGGGCACATGACTGAGACTGAGCTGCTGTCGCCCCATTGGGGCACATGACTGAGACTGAGCTGCTGTCGCCCCATTGG